CATGGGTGCTGAGATTCAAATTTAGGTCACCATGGCTGAGCAAGTGATCTTAACCACTGAGCCAGCTTCCAGCCCCTGTCCTGTGTTTTATTTTATTTTGAAACAGGACCTTTCTGTTCGCCCTAGCTGTCCTGGAACTCACTGTGTAGAGCAGACTGGCCTAGAACTCGCAGAGATACACCTGGCTCGACTGTGTTTTAAAAAATTTGTAGTTAATTGATGGCATGTTTTCTCAAGCACCTTTTCGTGACTGTTTTAGATGGAGCTCCTTTAAAGAATACCTTTCAAAACGTTCATCTCTCAGGACTGGACAGTTGTTAGAAGCCCTGGCTGCTCTTCTGGGTTCAGTTCCCCACACCACATGGCAGCTCACAACTGTCTGTAAGTCTAGTTCCAGGGCGTCAAACACCCTTACAGGTACATACATGCAGGCAAAACACCAGTGCACATTAAAGGAAAGATGTTGATCTCCAGTTGTTCATTGCTACTTGCAGCAGTTACGTTTCTGGTCCTGTGATAAAACACCATGAACAAAGGCAACTTCCGGAAGTAGTTTGGTGATAGTGGTGCAGGGTGATGAATATGGTTCCAGAAGGAAAGTCCATAATGATGGGGAGGCATGGCATCAGGCAGTCAGAGCAGGAAGCTGAGAGAGCAAACTGGAAGTGGAATGATGCTAATCTCATGAGCTCTCAGAGGGGGTTTTCTTTCTTCTTTTTTTAAAAAATAAGATTGGTTGTTTTATGTTAGTTTTGTGTTACTGTCACAAATTCCCGGGGGAACTGACTTATGAGGAGAGAAGTCCTATTGGTTCAGTTTCAGGGATTTGGGTCCTTGATTGGCCCTGATGCTTTGGGTCTGGGGTAGGCCCACAGAACATGGCAGGAGATGGAGGATGCTGCTAATTTTGTGGCTGTTGAACTTGTTGTTTTTGTTTTTGTTTGTTTGTTTGTTTTGAGACATGGTTTTTCTCTGTAGTCCTGGCTATCCTGGAACTCACTCTTGTAGACGAGGCTGGCCTCAAACTCAGAGATCTCCCTGCCTCTGCCTCTCAAGTGCTGGAATAAAAGTGAGCACCACCACCTAGAGTTTTGTGGCTATTGGAAAACAGAGATGGGAAGGGACCACCCTAGTGACCTGACTTCCTTCTAAGCTCCATCTCCTCTACTTCATAGCCTATCAGTGCTGAGAGGCAACCCTACCTTCTTTGATACACACTCCTCTCCTGAAGTAAGTGTCATAGGTCATTGTGTGTGACTGTACCAGAACACTTGAGTCTTGGTAAGCTATAAAGTATAGAAGTCCAATCCATATAATTTCTGAGCCAGAAAAGTTCAGGGTCAAGGTATCATCCTCTGTTGGGGACAGAATAGAAAGAGAGGGCATGTGTCAGGAAGGTTGCCTCTGGCACTTCCACAGTGCACATTAATGTGTTTGTCAAAGGCCGATGACCTAAACACCTGTTAGCCGCACCTTCTCACACTATCAGCGCTGGCTGTGTCTGCAGCATGGCTTCTGGGGGACATGAAACCCAGGGCAGTCAGCTAGGCAGGCCTTCTCTCTACTTGAAAAAGGTCCCTCCCCCTTCCGTCATCCCACAGGCAACACAAGCTCATCTCTCTTCTATCAACTCTGAGAACTTGGTGGGGCTCCTGGAAGTAAGCATGGTGACCGGCCCTCTGGAAGCTGTCCCTGCTGAACCACCCAGTCTCTTTAGTTATTCGTCGCATTGCTGGCTTTGCTATTCACACTGGCTCCATGGCTGTCAACTCATGTGTCCTCTTGGCTGAACTCTGCTCTCCTGGCTGCTGTCTCCACCTCCCGTGCCCTCTAGAGTCTAGAGCTAAGAGGAGCCTGTGCTTTTCTCTGCCTCATACCTGCTGTGTGGTGGCGAAGTACTCTCTGTACTTCACACGGGTCCTTACCGCTGGTGCTGGAACTGAAATCCAGTCTTTATCACTTCCGTAGTTATACATTTGGAGGTCTTCTGATTATGGTTGGTTTTTGCTATGCGGTATTTCATCTGCTGTCATGGTGACTTAGTTCCTAGAAGTACCCAGGCCACTGGTACTGGATGCTGGATGGCCAGCATGGGCTTGAAAGCCTACCTCTGCTTTCTCTCAGCTTCATGCCCCCTTCCCAGGAGGCCAAATTCCTGAGCCTACCTCTGTCCCTCACTTAAGTGGCCTGTTTCTGGGACAGCTGTTAAAATCTAGCCACCTGCTTTCTGTCAGTCAGTCTACCCTAAAAATTAGTGTAGCCCAGGCTAACCTCTGTTTTCCTTCCTGAGTCTCCCAGGTGCTAGCATTACAGGTTGGGAGATCTAGTGTCTCAGTTTCTTTTAGCCTCTGTGTGGTTGCTGCATTGTGGGTTTCCAGGTAGTACAGGTGAGAACACAGAGCTCCCTCACAGCTCTCAGCCATACACTGTGGTCTCTTGTTAAAGCTTGTTAGGTGTCTCAGCTGTCCACCCTCTTGCACCTCAGTCTCTTGTCACTGAGGTCAGATTTGCTTTCATGACTTCCATCCTTTGCCCAGCACTTCCTGAACATCCATTGGTTCCATCACCCGTAGCTGTTAAATGCAGATTCCTGGGCTAGAGAGGGCTTAGCGGTTAAGAGTAAGTTTGGTTCCCAGCAACCATTGTGTCTCATAACAACCTTTGATTTGACTACAGCTCCTGGGGATATGATGCCCTCTTCTGGTCCCTGTTTATCCCTACACTCACATGGCAGACGCATATATGTTACTAAAAATAAATCTTTTTGTAAAAGCACAGGTTTCCTGCATCCCCTAGACCCCTGCTGGTGAGTGCTGACTGGGCTCTGTGGCCTGCCTTCTCACAGTTCCCAAGAATACTCTCAGTGTAGACTTCAGACCACATACTAGCTTTGGTACCACGACCTTTGAACAGACTAAATTTTGATGGTACCCACTTTCCTGGGGATGGGACGCACATGGAGCCAGCTTAACCCTAGACAAGACAATTCCCATTAGTCACACCTAGATGGGACATGACTAGCCTCTGAGTCGTCTCTGCTTTGGCAGCTTTGAGTAGCACGGTTTGGGAGGTCTAGTGGGAGGCCCAGCTGTTGACTGTTTGGAATGGTGTCCTTTTCAGTGTGGTCTCAGCATATGCTCCTTCACTTTTCCTTGAGCCCCTGGGGCTGCCCTGCTGGCTGCCGGCTCCCAACATCAGTGGGAACTGAGGACGGGATGCTGTCCATAAATTATTCTCCTGTTCCTTCTGTCTAGCTCCTTCTTAAGACACTCTTGTGGCTTTCTGTTGTCTCATAAGATGGCCGGGTGTGGTGCACTGCCAGCCTGTAGCTGTCCCCTGAGTTCTGAGAAGTCCTTGGGTGTTTCCCCAGGTTCCTACTGCTTCCATTCCTCCCTCTGGGATTCTGTCAGAGGCCCAGCTCTGTTCCGCCCTTCTGTTTCACCCCATTTTGGGTGACTTCAAGTTGTAACTGAACTTTCTTTTGGGCCCCCAGCTCAGAAATAACAACATGGAAACTTATTATTAATTATAAAAGCTTGGGCTTAGCCTAGACTTTCCCTCAACTAGCTCTTATAACTTAAATTAACCTGTTGTTATTAATCTGCATTCCGCCACGTGGCTTGGTTACCTCTCCTCTGTACCATATGTCCAACTTATTCAGTGTCTCACTTGTCTCCATCTCTCTTCTCGGAGTCCTTCCTCTCTTTCCCAGAAGTCTCGCCTAACCTCTTTGTGCCTAACTATTGGCCATTCTGCTCTTTATTAAACCAATCAGAGGGCACCTTGGCAAAGACATATCTTCACAGTGTAAATAAATATTCTGCTACATCAAGTCCTCACCTCTGGTCTCCAGCCCTGTCCTGTCCTCTGGAATGTTCAGTGGTCAGTAGACTTCGTTTCAAAGTTCCTCTGTTCACACCTGCCTGGACTGTTTCCATGTTATCTTGTAGCTTGCTGTTGCTTGTCATCTGAGGGTTATAGTTTTCTAGATATGACACTTGTAGATGCTCACTGCTTATCTGGAAACTCTCCTCACTCCCCCCCCCCCTCTTTCCCTACCTTTCTTCCTTCTCCCTCCCTCCCTCC